TAATATAATTAAATAGTGGTTTATTAATATTCAATGCGGGACATTCCTGTCTTGATAACATCATATCTCACTTTCTCTCTATCAATATTTTTTATCTAGATATTTGTTCAACTAAATCCAGAACTGTTTTTATCTATTGTTTACTGTTAGTTCACCCAATATAAGGCTCAAGAGTTACTGAATGTAGAGGGTTAACGAGTAAGATTGTTATAAAGAAGTGGGGTGTAAAAGAATATTATGAGGGTGGATAGGATACATATCGGTTGACCCCGAGGTCAAAAGATTGGAGTTATCAAGAAAGCGTTCTCTCAGGAATTTGTTCCAGAAAGTAACAGTTCTGGGGAAAAATCTGTCTGAGTGGAACTTTTTTTTTTATTAAAGGAACACGAAGGGAACGTGGTTGGCGTGGGATCCTAGATTTGAAAGTCTGAGCTGGTGGAACTAAAGAATTTAACTCGTCCGAACATCTGCCAGAGTAACAGCAATATAATAGTGAAAGTGTCGTCTGTCGGATAAGGTTTGCAGGAGGGAAAATATTCAGAAGGCCGCGCCAGCACTTTTGAATTCTGTCTACTTATCTCTCCCTCTTTTTTATCTATCTGTCTATCTATGTATCTATCTATCTATCTATTTTTGCCTTGATAAAGTCCCTCATTTGACTTTATTCATATTGCCCTTTTACTGATATAGTCTCTCAGAAATTATTTACATTACTATCTATCTATCTATCTATCTATCTATCTATCTATCTATCTATCTACCTTCATCTTCAAGGGTGAAATCTCCACCTCTGAATTTTGCAAACCATCTTCTGCAAGTTATTTCATTCACACATTCCTCTCCATAAACTGAGTGAATGTTTCTAGCCGCTTCGGCTGCTGAGTTTCCTTTCTTGAATTCATAAAGCATTATGTACCTCAAATGATCCATGGGTACTTCCATGTTAGCAGGGTTTTAATCAAACAAAATTTAATTTTATTGTTCTCTGAAATAAAATTTGATCAGTTTAAATGCATCTAAACATAAAAATAATGTTCAGCTCCATTAGACATTATAAAATACTCTTTAAATTTCGTTCATTTTAACAAAAAGTTAAAATTCGGACAGAACTTATGGGATGACCTGATATATATATATATATATATATATATATATATATATATATATATATATATATATATATATATATAATGTTTAAAATAACGTAAATCGCCTTAAACTACCTAGAATATCCACATAACAGAGTGAAAATTACGCCACTCCCATTTGTTAAACAGCTGTCAATCTTGTCATAATAGACAAAAAAAAAATTCGATCAAGGGAATACATATTTTTTACGGATGTTTTAATTTTTTTCCATTGTTTCATCGTCAGAATTTGTCAAAAATTTCTGCTGTAACCTAAAATATTATTCCTGCTAAACACCTAATGAGATTAAAAATCGATTTGATTGCTACATCCGTGTCTATGGAATTGGATACAAGTCGAAATAGTTTCGGACATTCTTGACTGAGTTCGAATATTATTGTGAATTTGGATGAGAATTTATCGCTGAAAAATTTCAAACTTCTCTAACAGAACTGAGAATACAAAACGTAATTATCATAAATTATTGTATTTTAATATTAAAATGTATTATTATTATTGCTACTGCTATTGTTGTTAAATAATAATAATTGTTATTATTATTAAAAATAAGAAGAATACACATTTTCTCAGAATATATTTAGTCTGTTAATGTTTTTCTGTGTAACGCACTGATCTTTACAAAGTAACATTCTTTATTGTTTTGCATTTCAAGTCGAGAAACACCTTCTTTTCTCTTGTCTGTATCTGGCGTCCATTTTGAATCTATTCTTTTCTAAGCAATCATTTCTTTCTTTCCTTTCCGTTGATCTATTTTTTTTTATTTCATATCGAAGGCCTACTCCATGCGAAACTTCTTTTGTTCGTTCTTTTTGACATTATCTATCTAAATAAAGACGAAATGGAACTGTATCTTAATAGAATACTTAAAAATGGATGGGAAAACCGTTAAAATATTGTCTGAGGCCATCTTCTTTAGCAAGCATCAAAAGAAACAATTTGAGTAGACATTTTCTTTTTGTGTGCCTCCCTACAGATATGTCCACAACTGTTGATATTTACATGACTCAGTAATGTAGGATTATTATTATTATTATTATAAATAAAATATAAAAGAATAATAATGAAAATTATAAATAAAATAAAATAAAACAATAACATTAAAACTTTGTATAAAATAAATTAAATTAAAAATAATAAAAACTCCCAGCATGCAACAAAAACTGTTCCTGTCGGAAATACGGACATCCCGCCAAAAGGCATTAAATTCAATCTCTTCCTTCGTACGGACAACACGTATCCAACGTCTCTCTGTGATATGGCATGTAATAACATGGAGTAAGTTCTCCCTTTTGTCACATGTACCATAAAATAAATGTAACCTAAAAATACGCAAACCTATACACACAAAAATATAAATAAATTGTATAAAAATAACATACAATTTACCATGTTTTCCTGTTATTTCTGTACGTTTACTTTCCTGTCAAGTATGTTTTTATCTAAAAAATCATTTCTGCTGTTATGATGTGAGTGAATCTCCCACAATATTTTGGTGACCGCTGACGTACATAAAAAACAACCTATTCACTCACAGTTTTAAACAAACTAAAATAAGCAAAATTGAGAAGAATAAGACTGTTTTACACGAGTCTCTTAAGCTGAAAAAGTTTGCTGACTTTGAAACTTAGAAGACGATAAAAAATACGTTCCAATTCCAAACGCAAAAGAGCTTCCGATGACCGCGAGAAAACAGTTCTCGTCTTTCAAAGCAAAAGTAAGAATTTACAAAGACATTGTACATTGAATGGTAAACATGTAGACTCTTCCAGTGGCCTCAGACTCACTACGCTAAGTGTTGCTGTTTTTGTTTCTGTAGCAGGTGGATTTTATGGGGTAGATTTACAGGCCCTCCACCCAATCGAGTTTTGCTTGTCTTAAACTAGTTGCAAACTAACCGGGAGATTTCAGTCCACCCTGTTACTGAGAAAAGATGCAACCACGCCTTTTGCAAGCACAACTGGAATTTGAACTCAGCACAGCAATCCCACATTCCACGTTAGTAGTCGTCACGTTAAGGTCATATCACATGAAGTCATTCCTCTTCTTCTTCTTCTATGGGCCGTGCCTCTTCAAGACTTTTGGCGATCATAGCTCTCCACAATTTCCTATCCTCTGTAGATCTTAGTAAATTTTATCTTTTGCTATCCCAGTTCAACCTTTTACACAAACTGTTTCTTCTTCTTCTTCTTCTTCTTCTTCTTCTTCTTCTTCTTCTTCTTCTATGTGTAATATCCCTTCATGAATTTGGTGATCATGGCTCTCCACAATTTCCATTGTTTTGCAACTACCAATAGTCTTTTCGCTATCTCCTCTAAACCCTGTTCCGTCATCCATTTACACAAACTCACCAAATAGGTTACGCATTGTTTTCCTCTGTCCCTCTTGTCTTCACTCTGTCCTGTGAGTATCAAATTTTCGAAGCCTTCTTTCCTCATATGATGCTCTTGAAATGTCAGTTGTTTCTTTCTGATTCTAATTATAAGTGTTCTTTTTGCTTCCATTTTCTCTAAAACTTCATCATTGCTCACATGTTCAGTCCATGTCATTCTCATCATCCTTCTGTAGAATCACCTCAAATCTCATCTTCATCTGTAAGGAGATTGTCCAGCATTCACTGCCATATAAGAGGACTGATGTTATGTAACAGTTCAGTATTCTTTTCTCTGTTTTTTACGAAATATTTCTGTTTCTTAATACTCTGCTTAGCTTTTGGAAAGCATCTTTCGCCATCCCAATGCGTCTTTGGATTTCGGTGTTGCTCTTCCAGTTCTCTAATAAAACATTATCCAGATATTTTAATTTTTGTTCTTGGTTTTGGCATCTCCAATTTATAATTTGTTTGTTAGTCTGTCTCTTTTGCTAACAACCATGCACTCTGTGTTCTTGTAATTGAGCTTTAGTCCTTTCTTCTCTCTTTCCTTCATTAACTTTTCTGGGAGTTCTAGTAGCTTCTTTTCTGTATCTGCTATGAACACTCACAGAATCTCAAAATCGCTTCACTGTATAGATTGTATATGTCTGGTGAGAAGACACACCCTTGTCTTGCACACCTTTCTATTTCTGTATATTTAGTGAATTCATTTTCTATCTTTATGCAGGTGGTTTGCTGCCTGTGTAGATTTGTTAATAATATAATACTTTTTTTCAGACACTGATGAGCTGTATATCCGCGGAACTTCGAAGTCGGTCTAAGATAAGTATTTGAAGATTCTTTGTTTTATTCATGATTATATGTGTACGTGTCATGCGGGTGAGAGATTGGAGAAGGAGCAACTATGTAAGGGTTTTGATTTTGAGTTCATTGGAGACGACTTTCTTTCGTAAGTGTGCAATCGAACGTGACAACCTCAAGACAAAAGCAGAGACAAAGTTGATACGAAAATGAGAGAAACGGGTGGGAGATCTACCCGCTTTACACTTGTTTTTCGAATCAATACGACTTTCTCGCATTTCTTCATCACTCTGACATACATGTGCACACCTGCAGCAGGCTGTCTTTTGATAACAGTGTAAAAACTCGCTTCCCTTCGCCAAGAGCAGTCAGAAAATAGTAATGAAACAATGGGAATGATATTAATCAGACAAAAGGCCCATGAATTTTATTATCTAGTAGGAAAATGAGCTGGGCACGCATATATATATATATATATATATATATATATATATATATATATATATATATATATATATATATATATATGATTAATATAGAACTATAGCTATGAAGCTAGTCTCAATCCATTGTCAGTGAGTTCGTTCAGTTCTGGTTACACCATGAACATGACCTTGTGTTAAAATAAGTAATATATTTTTGCGTTGATTTTCATTGATTAATCCGATTTCACGTGTATTTAACTTGTTAAACAATAGATAGATAGATAGATAGATAGAGAGAGAGAGAGAGAGAGAGAGAGAGAGAAAGAAAGAAAGATAGATAAAAACAAACAAATAAATTGAGATAGATAGATAGAAACAGACTGATCCAGATAGATAGATAGATAGATAGATAGAAAGATAGATAGATAGATAGATAGATAGAAAGATAGATAGATAGATAGATAGATAGGAACAGATTGATCAAGATAGATAGATAGATAGATAGATAGATAGAAACAGACTGATCAAGATAGATAGATAGATAGATAGAAACAGACTGATCAAGATAGATAGATAGATAGATAGATAAATAAATAGATAGAAACAGACTGATCCAGATAGATAGATAAATAGATAGATAGATAGATAGATAGATAGATAGATAGATAGATAGATAGAAACAGATTGATCAAGATAGATAGATAGATAGATAGATAGATAGATAGATAGATAGATAGATAGATAAATAGATAGATAGATAGAAACAGACTGATCCAGATAGATAGATAGATAGATAGATAGAAACAGATTGATCAAGATAGATAGATAGATAGATAGATAGATAGATAGATAGATAGATAGATAGAAACAGACTGATCCAGATAGATAGATAGATAGATAGATAGATAGATAGATAGATAGATTGGAAATTGAATTACAAAATAGAAGAATAATCCTATGCTACGTACTTCGTCCTTCGAAAAGATCCTACTACATAGTTTTTTGTTGATGGAATCGCTGATATAAACATTTAACCTCCCCACCCAAAAAAAACTTTTCGAAAGACGAAATATCTAACATATGAGTTTTCGTTTTTGTTATTTAATTAGCCACCCAGTGGCGTAGATTAGGTGGGGCGAGGGGGGCGCACCGCCCCGGGTGCCAGCACAGGAGGGGTGATACAATGTAACCCCCAACAAAATTTTTCAACCAGACTAAGGTGCCAAAAATATTCTGAAAACAGTGGTGGAGACACAGGGTTTCGCAGGCGGGCATATGACCCCCCCACCGAAATAATTTATGACCCCCCAGTTTTGTCCCCTCGCCAGAAATTTTCTAATAAATTGTCGGGAAATTTGTGAGTAGGAAAAATAGCAATGTTTTCAGCTTTTGATTTGAACTGATTATTTTGTGGTATTAGATTTTGTCTTGGATCATACATGTAAACAGTAACGTACCGGTCAGTAGAGTAAAGTAGAGGTAGAGCATGTATGAAAATTTAGCTACAGCTAACCATTCAGCATAGGGTGAATCGAGGTCATTGGGGTGACATTTGAGCGGACCGCCCCGGGTGATGTTTACTCTAGCTACGCCACTGTATCCACCACAAGTCTTAATATATAGAATTAGATTCTCGCATAGGTAGATAGATAGGTATAGATCAATTTAAGAAGTAATGTCGCTGTGACTAAATCCACTCACGGCTCATCGTCACTGTGTCGTTCTGGTGGCCATTACTCTGGTCCGCTTTTCAAAACCAATCTCTACTTTTCGTTCTTTGCTGTAGATGAATGCTTTTTCATACGAGCACCACACAATTTTTCTCGTTGCCTTTGTCAGATTAGAAACCGCCACGTTAATGTTCTTAACATTTCTAAAAGAAAAATCAAAATGCCAACATTTGCGCATGCCACGTAATATTACGTTAGGTCCTCTTTATTCATTGATCACCAAATGTGTGTGCTCCAATACCTAACTTACATTCTCTCTCTTTCCATATATATATATATATGTATATATATATATATTATTTCAAACGTAATTATAGTGGGTACTGCACATTTGAAATAGACTCAGTATTTTTTAGAGTGTGTATTACGTCTATTCACCTGCGCATTCAAATACAAAGTTTCCACTATAATAACGTTTAAAGTAATAAAATGATACATTAAAAATAAATCTGTTACTTTTTTATATATATATATATATATATATATATATATATACATTTCGTTTCATTTCATTTTTTTGGTAGTGCTATCTGATGATCCAGCGTCCTTTAAAAGGACTCTGGTGAAATAAATTATTATAATTATATTAAATATTAAAGTGGTCTGTTTTTTCTTTTAAAATATATATATATATATATATATATATATATATATATATATATATATATATATATATATATATACAAGTACAGGATTGGTATATACGGAATGAATTCCAATAACCAACAATTACTATTCTTAAAAGAGTGCTCAACACATAGTAGAGGAGAGCAGATATAATTATTTATTAAATGGCATTCAACATCATCACTTGGAGGTGTTGAAACAAAATGGCTATTTTTGTAGTGATTTTATAACATATTTATGTTATAATTTTTAAATAAATAATTATATATATATAGAGAGAGAGAGAGAGAAAGAGAGAGATAGTGTGTGTGTGTGTGTGTGTGTGTGTGTGTGTGTGTGTGTGTGTGTGTGTGTGTGCCTTTGTTACCCTTCTCTCATGATAGAATCTCCCTGTAAAGTTTCTGTCTATGACGTGAGAAGTTTCGCTTAAAGGCACAAAATTTGTCCTCGCTTGACCGACTGCTCTTCGTGAGCAAACTGGTTAAAGCTTGGCGGATTTTATTTATATATATATATAATATAAAGTAAAGACGATCCTTAAAAATCCATTCGGTTTATTTCATGAATATATACAAATATTCATCTCTTCAAACCGAAGTTTTTTTAATAAATGTAGTCAATTTGTTCAGACAAAAGAAAAAGAGAGAGAAAGAAAAGAAAAGAAAAGAAAAGAGGGAATGGGGAAAAATAATTTATATTAAAAGAGGAAAAAAGAAAAATCAAAATTTCAATATAAGGTTTAAAAAAGAGAGAGAGGGGGGAGAGAAGGAGTGGAGGGAGGGGGAATAGAAGGAGTGGAGAGAGGGGGAGAAGAGAAGGCATGGAGAGAGGAGGAGAAGAGAAGGCATGGAGAGAAGGGGAGAAGAGAAGGCGTGGAGAGAGGGGGAGAAGAGAAGGAGTGGAGAGAGGGGGAAGAGAAGGCATGGAGAGAGGGGAGAAGAGAAGGAGTGGGAGAGAGGGGAGAAGAGAAGGCATGGAGAGAAGGGGAGAGAGAAGGCGTGGAGAGAGGGGGAGAAGAGAAGGAGTGGAGAGTGGGAGAAGAGAAGGCATGGAGAGACGGATAGAAGAGAAAGCATGGAGGGAGGGGGAGAAGAGAAGGAGTGGAGAGAGAATGTGAGAGTTTTCGGTCTGAAGAGATGAATATTTGTATATATTCATGAAATAAATTATAATCGATTGGATTTTTAAGGTTTGTCTGTATTTATTATTTATTACTATATTGATCTCTTTCTTACGTTGAGCTCTCTGGATTCATGTCCTTGCAATTATCCCTACCAAGTATTAATGGATATATATATATATATATATATATATATATATATATATATACGCATGTCTTGCAGTTAGGCTGGCCCCAAATGTAATGCCCTGTATTCTTTTGTATCTTGTTCGTACGGCCAGGTGTTTGGGGGGGGACAGATAGCGCACTGCTTTCATATACCATCGCCCAACCTACACCCTAGTTATATAGCCAATTCAGTCGGGTTTCGGTCCTAGCTAAAGCCAGCCGGACGTCTAGCCACACTGATGAGCTGTGATACAGCGAAACAGTCTGTCTGTGGATGACAATATATATGCTCCTGAAAAATGTATTTCGGTTGAGCTCTCTGGGGGAGGAAGTGTGGGTTTGTAAACAGTGACTATTACAGCTAATAATGCAAGACTCTTCGGTAAATCGAATCGAGTTCTCTCAGTGACTGTGTGTTTATCTAAAAATAAATACGATTAAATTCACCTTCATCCCTGCCGTGCTTAGTAGTAGAATCCCCTACTGACGCCAATTCAGTCGGGTTTCGATCGAGCCAACCGGACGTCAAATCTCACTAATGAGCTGTAATACAGCGAAACAGTCTGTGGATGACAATATATATATATATATATATATATATATATATATATATATATACTGATAAGTCAAACATGATTACCTGCTTATGTAGTTGCGGGGCCTCCATTTTTTTTATCTTATCCAGTCTGTTATGGGGTCTACAAAACTTTTAAAGTTTTCGTCTGTGATCTGGGGTCAGGATGTTGACAAAACGTTAACAGCAAGTCTTTTAGCCGCTGCTGGGTTACATGGCGGGTTCTCTGCAAAAACGTGATCTATAGGACTGAGACCTGCTGTCCAGACAAACACAATGATGTCTTTATTTTCATAAAATAATTCCCATACAACTCGTGCAGTAGGGCAGGAAAGGTACATTAACGGGGGCTGAAAGATGCCAGTGCTGAAACTGTGGCAACAAAGGATTTGGCCGCGTTTTCGATTATTTTAAGGTATAGGTGGTAGGCAACAAAAAAGAACTTCCATATTAATGATAAAATCCAATGTTTACCAGCAGAACATTGTTCAAACGCTGACACATCCTTCATCGGTTTGTTGTTTTCCCAGAATGCATCGTGATGTCAGAGTTAACCCCCGCAACGCATACATATCTTGCAATATACATTATCCAAGGGGAAACTGAGACTCATCGAACCTGGCGATCTTTATCCACTGATATAACGTCCAATTCCGATGCTTGCATGGCCATTAAAAACCTTCTCAGAGACGGACATTGATTAACATGGGTAACATTGGCGATACAGAGTCATGCGCAACGTGGTTCAGCATACTGTGTTATTTGATATATTTATTCTTTCAGGTTTATTAATGCTGTCATTTCTACCACAGCAGCCTTTCCTTACATTTAGACGGAAAATGTTCATCTCTCGATTTAATAAGACCGCGTTTGAATTATATATATATATATATATATATATATATATATATATATATTGATTAATTCATGCATTTATTTTCTTCGGTTTATCAAGCCTTTGCAGGTTATTTAAAACCAGGAAATAGTTTTTTATATATTGTAAGAATTTTTGTGGTCGGGAGATAATAATGATTTAGGGATATAATTTTTACTAATTAACCCATAGCTGGGGAGCAATAGGTGGCTTCATAACTTTCCCAAGGTTATCTGCGCGTATGTGAATATAACGAGCCCAACTGGAACTGGAAGACGGCTATTTGATCAACAATTATGGGGCATTGTCCATTACATCACCGGAATATACAAGCTTATAGCACCTGGTATTCCCAAGCGATCGCCCATCTCGGTACTGACCATGCTCGACGTTGCTTAACTTCAGTGATCGTATAGGAACCGCTGTTTCACGTAATGTGATATATATAGTGGATCTAATCTAATGCAACATTGATACCGCCAAATCCTTACTGTTGACGAGCCTGTTTCGTGGCTAAAGTAGTTTAGTTTATCGCACTGACGTTAGTGATTGATGTTCTTAACCGTGTGAAAAGCCAGTATTTTCAATGTTAATCTTCAAGGCATACTAACACTCTATTCTCACTTGGAATATTGTTGCAATATAGCCATGTACTTCCCCTTGACCTTGTGCCATACATTTTTTATGTCTTTTTTTAATAGCAACAGTTTTAATTGTAATCAAAATATTAAATGAAACTTTTATTTTTAAAATGTAATTATTTTATATCAAGACTTATCCGAACAGAAATCTCTATTCTTATTGTTTTTAATAGCGTTTTCGGTCGAAACCTTCTTTAACCTTCCTCAAGTTTTATCAAATTGAGAATGAAGAAATTAGTCCAAATAATTTTTTATATGCTAATACTCACCTAACGCAGAGCCAAAGAGTCACTCAAGGTAGAGCGTTAATGAATGAGATGTGTGATGTGGATCAAGGAGAGGAAACAGAAATTTGGGGGGATAATGACTCATCTAAGGAAATCAGACAATATTCGAAATATTTTTTCTCGAATAAGTTTAATATTATATTGCTCCTGATTTTTTTTTTTTTTGCCAGAAATGGTATCAAAACAAGTATATACCATGGACACTGAGTGGTTTAATGATATGAACAACTTTACGGTCATCAATATCTGAGAAGCTAAATTAAACTGTAAGGCAAATAAGCCCGCCATATTTAGCGGTCTGACGTAATTCCTTCTGAGTTCTAGCCGCAAGGTGCTGACTTGTAGTTTACAAGCAGAAATACAGCAACCCAACTAGTGTGTTGACCTCTCAGAATGTGAATATATTTACTAATTGGATTGGCTTAACTCAGATGCACAATTTAAATATGCCATTTTAATACAGACGAACGCATTAGACACACCAAAGAAATCCTATGTGAATAAAACGGCGTCGGTCGACAATTAAGCAATAACTCCTATCGTCAATAATAGCGATTTTTATTGTAGACCAAAATGGAGATTGATTGAAAGAAGCAGACGTTAATATGGCGGACAGATATAAATGTGTCTGACTGTCGCTTAGTGCACAGACCTAAACAACAGGCCGGGTGCCTTTTTATTATTGGGATGCTTGTTGTTCGTTCATTTACGTCATTTGTTGAGCCGAAACAATTGATTTTAATATTTTGCAACTGCCATTTTTGTTATTGCAAAAAAGAAAAAAAAAGAAGCACTTCTCATTAAAATGAGTTACTGAATGATCAAACGTCAACCTTTAGGTGTTGTTATAATTATATTTTGAAGTTTGAAATCGATCAGAACTTAAATTTGAAAGATCAAAATGTGTGGTTTAGATTAAGTTTAGGAAAATATATTGCTGCATCTACTGCAAGGAAAGTTGGGTTATTGCGTCGGGCCAAAAAATTTATCTCGTCAGAGTCCATCTTGTACATTTATAAATCTACCGTTCGCCCGTGCATCGGATACTGCTGCCATATCTGGTCTGGTGCTCCTGCTATTCATCTCAAAGTTCTTGACAAAATCCCAAGAAGGATCTGCAATATCATCGATCCTGACTTGGCATCTCGACTTCAGTCACTTTCTCACTGATCTGATGTGGCTTCCGGCCGTCTTTTCTACAAATATTTTCATGGCAACTGCTCTGAGGAGCTTTTTTCCCCGGCGCCCCGACTACATGAATTTAAATGTGCTACTTGATTGGCATCTAGGTCTCACCCTTTTTCTGTTGAAATAGTTACACATAACCGCCACTTTATACTCCAGCAGTTTCTTTTCTCTCATTTCCCACCTGTTTGACCTTGTACCTAAAAAAAAGAAAATTTGAAAATTTTCTACGACTCTTGAAACCCACTTCCCATTGGAAACTCCTACTGTGTTTATATTTACAGTGCTACTACTGACCATCATATTTGACCAGAATGAAATATACACACACACACACACACACACACACACACACACAGGCACACATATATATATATACATATATATATATATATATATATATTAAAGAAAATTTATGCAAAAACCGATAGTGCATTTTTATTAAATAGGTACTTGCTATTTCAATCATTAAATTGTTTTAAAAATAGTGAGAGTATTTGTATCTGGCTCTTGTAAAGGCAGAGGATAGCATGAGAAATCAGGTCCTAACAAAATGTCACTACGCCTTGTATTTATTTCTATCTTATAGTAGAAAACAGACCAACTAACGAAACACTGAGCAGAAAACTGAAAACGGTCCAAATTCTAGCAATAATGGTGAAATTAGTCATCTCCATGCAAGTTAGCGTTACTCTCAGTAGAAATTTATGAAATCTTTTTCTTAAATCAAATTTTGCAGGAAATCTTCAAGTTCAAATTTATTTTTGATAATGGTGCCAGTTTCCTTCCTAACCTTTTGTTTTTGTTCATGTGTCAAGTTAACCTCTTCATTATATCATAATTCTCTCTTCTATACACATTTGCTGCCTATTTTTGTGGTTACCGCTATTGAAAGTTTTAACTGATTCTGTTATTTGGCAAAGATCTTTGGGATTTTACAGCGCCAATCTATAGTTTCTGATGAAGGGATTTGTTTTCTTTCAAACCTACAGGACTCATTAGTTTGAAACCATTTTTAACCATTAATTTTAGAAACCGGTTTTGGTTTGGTTTGGTTTGTTTGTTTTACGGCATATCAGCCTCAATGGGTCATTTAATGCCGAGAACGGATGCGGATGTAGTTTATCGTCATACCCATTTTTATACAGATTATAGTCTAGACATTTCTGAGTTGAATGAGTTGGAAGACATGCCTGCCATTTGTATGAGAGTGTCCATAACTGATTGTTATTTTAGATTATTTGAATTACTCGTCATGTAGTGGCCAGGTATCTCCCTTGTTTTATCGACTAACGTACAGAGAACTTACACTCAGATTTTTCGCTGCCGACGAACAAAAAGTGACAATGGGCGCCATTGAAACACGATAAATACAATGCGAGAGTTCAGTTCTTTCGAAATGGTAATCAATCAAACTTTTTCTTCTCTTCATTTTTTGTGAGGCTTGTGATTTTCTAAGTTTATCTTAATACACCATAAGGGAAATAAACAAAAGAAAGATTATAATGCGCCAATTTTCCAAGTGAAGAGATCTACCTACCTGAAGCTAGCTTTCAAAATTCTTGCTTTTTTTTCTGCGCTTGAAAATGGACTAATGGTACGTTGTTGTGATTACAATAAGAAAATGATCCAATCAAGTTTCATTATTGCGAACAGGGTCAGTGCAAGAGTCTTGTACCCCCTACGAATCTATAACAGCTCCACTCACCGAATTTATGATACAGGACCCCACTTTATTTACTACATCTCAATTTATCATAAGGTAATAATGGAAAAAAAAATACAAATTTTATTTTAAGCTAATTATTTGCAATAATGGGTTTTATGCAAGATGAAACGAGAAAAAGTGAAAATAAATACATTGTATCTAAATACAAATTAGAAGGTAATGATTTCTCCATTATTGTGGCTGGCAGAGGAAAGCAAAAACAATTGTTTATAGTTACTTTGTTCAAACTTTTTTATCACTAAAGTGTGTTTAATATAAATAAAGTTATTCTAAATAACATTAAAAAAAATTAGAGACATGTCGTAATAGATGATTCCATCTTAAATAAATCAACAATGTTTTGTGACAATTTTTAATATCAATTTGAGATTTTTCTAGTTAAAAAGTTTAATAATTTTAACACATCCAACATTATGGTTAAAAAAAAAATAGTAAAATTTATATTTATAGGCTTAAAGAGCGCACCCAAGCGAACGCTTTTAGGGTAATCCCCAAAATGCTTTTCATTTCATCTGGGGCTGTTAATAATGTCTATTGTCTTCACACCTACACTAGATCGTCTGCATTTATTCTTCATTTCGTGCTCCTTGTTGTGTAAATGAATCGGGAAAAGGCCAGCAATCTCCTTTAATGGCCGTTCCTTCTTCACTTTTTCTCAAAAGACTTTGAATCTGACCGGACGTCAAAAACAATAAACATCAAACAAGATTTAGAACTAAGTTAGAGAAATGAACAAACAGAAATCGAACGTTAATCGCCATAAAAAGAAAAAAACATTTCACCACGTGATCATTTCAAGCTTTCTAAAGAAAATCCTCTTCACACCTGGCAAAATATTAAATATTGAACAATTTATGCATTCCTTCCCTACCAGTGGCAATACCTTTCTTCCTCATATTCAATGCATTTTTATAGTAATATCTTTAGTAATGTATTTTCCATTATACATATAATAGACCTATTCTATCTGTAATGCTTCCATTCATTCCTGACCACTGACAATCCCTTTCTTCCTGATTTTGAATGCAATCCTATAGTAAAATCGTTAGCAATGCATTTCCATTATACATATAATAGCCCTATTCCCCAGTAGGAATCCATCGTACATAAAAGAATTAGGAGTTAGGACTATGGTCAAGACAGTGGGCAGCCATAGGAAAAGGCCAATGGAAACCGCGTTCTGATGCGGTTGGCGGTAAAATACAGTCGAGGGATCACTGTTTCATTATACCCCCCCCCCTCTACGTTTACTAAGAGAATTTTCTGCATCAATTGATAGGTGATTATTTGAGGGGATTCCAATTTTGAAATTATCCTTTCTTCAATAACTCCTGACTTTGAGATCACGAAGAGACTATGCCAATAAATGAAGCAATTGTTTCCACAGAAGGAATGAAGGCATGAATACAGTTTCCCTAACTTTTATATTCCACGCCTTTTTCTGAAAGGTTGATTTCGATTCCACTGTGTGAAAAATCACATGATATATATATATATATATATATATATATATATATACATTCTCTCTCTCTCTCTCTTTCTCTCTCTTTCTCTCTCTCTTTCTCTCTCTCTTCTCTCTCTCTCTCTCTCTCTCTCTCTCCAGCAGATTGACTTCTCTAGGGGACCTTCGTGATTATTTAAAAATAAATACGCAGAAATTGCATTCCTCACTACCGGGAGCCGATAGCCTAGGGGTTGGAATCTCTGACTGGTGCCAAATTGGTCGGCTTTCGATCCTGGCTTGAAGCGATCTAGCCACTCTGATGAGCTGTGATACATCTAGACCGCCTGTCTGTGAATGAATGAATATATATATATATATATATATATATATATATATATATATATATATATATATATATATATATATATCATAATGTTTTATGGAGAAAAGAATGATAGTGTGGACACTTGAACAAATCAACCTCCTCTTATTACCTTAGCTACACAGGAAGTAGCAACAACAAAGATGTTACAAGCATGATCAACCTTGAAAAAAGAGACGAAACAGGAGAATGGTTAAGTGGTTATTGGGGTAAAACACTTCCTCAGAAATATTTTATATGACAAGTCAATAGCAAAAAAAGCTGTCACCTCAATACATTGACATTATCTGATCAAGAGAATGAATATGCAAGCTCTTGGGGAAAACATTCCTCCATAACTACCGTATCTGCCCTAGCAATAACAACAATATGCTGTTATCTCCATAGTCATATCATAGTCATAGTTATAGTCGTATGATATTCATAGTCATAGTCGTATGATAGCCATAGTCATAATCGTATTATAGTCACAGTCATAGACGTATGATAGTCATAGTCATAGTCGTATGGTAGCCATCGTCATAATCGTATCATAGTGATAGTCATAGTCGTATCATAGTGATATAGTCGTATGATAGCCATATCCATAATCGTATGATAGTGATAGTCATAGTCGTATGATAGTCATAGTCGTATCATAGTCATAGTCGTATGATAGCCATAGTCATAGTCGTATCATAGTTATAGTCATAGTTATATCATAGTCATAGTCATAGTCGTATCATAGTCATAGTCTGAGGTCATTTAAAATAATTATGCGTGTTGAGCTTCGTAACTCCCTGTCATTACCTCAGATAAATAATGCAACATTCTTTTTTGCTTTCGACAAAAGATGGAAGGAAAAGATATATCAGAGACGCTGTCTGGTTTCTTGCGGTTAAGAAAGAAAGAAAGAAAGAAAGAAAGAAAGAAAAATATATAGAATTAAGAAAGATAAAAAGAAAGAAAGATAAAAAAAAGGTAGAAAGAAAGAACTAAGAGAAATTTATAAAGAAGTGTTGATGTTCTTTATTTTATGTGACTCCATCCATTTATGGTTTATCTTGGAAAAGTGTTTGTTATTTCGATTAAATTTTCCTAACAAAGTGTTGTGATAATTGATATTAATTTAAATAACATTTACCACCCTTCTTATCCGCCACCTCTAAAAATTAACCTACAAAGTATTAAAAATCTTTTATTAGTGTGCACAACCCAAGTCCTTTCCCGCGATCACCTACCAAATTAGATAGGCTTTTATAAATAATATACATTAAGGACATTATTATCTGAAGAAAAATTTTTTTGATGAATAAAGAATTTTACAAGAATTGTTTGCATTTTCTTTTAGTTTTCCTTTTTTTTTTTTCATTTTTCTTTAATTTTAAAAAATGTTTTAAAATTCTTTCATGCAGAGTGTGGGATCGGTTATTAAGTTTTTAAGTGAAGACTATATTTACTAAGTGAAAATTAAAAGCTTAATACAAATAATGCTACCAAAACTTTTTACCATAATTTAAATTTTTTTTTTTTTTTGTGCGTCAAAATGTTATATTTTTTTTAGTATGATATCTCATAAGTAACATTATGGTTAAAAGGTCACGTGTTTCAAAGCCTGTCTCCTCCTTGGGGAAAGCCCCTTGACATGTAGAGGTCTTATCTCACTTTCAATTATTAAATTAAAAATTAAATTGAAATAATAAAAGTATCTCATTTATCAATTTAAACAATTAATAACTGAGTGAGATATTTCAATTATTAATATAATAATAATTTTATTAGTTATTATCTCAGTTATTAAATTAAGAATATAACTTAATATAATATTAATAATTTATAAAATTAATTATCATTATGTTAGCTATTAAACAATGAAAGAGATAGAGGTAATTCAATAATGTAAGAAATTTTTATAGTATTTTAAATTATTATAAGGAACAAAAAAAACAGTTATGTCACTTTTGATGCACTGTACTAAATTAATTAATTTAATTAATCTGCATGAAAGAATTTTAAAACATTTTTTAAAATTAAAGAAAAATGAAAAAAAAAAAAGGAAAACTAAAAGAAAATGCAAACAATTCTTGTAAAATTCTTTATTCATCAAAAAAATTTTTCTTCAGATAATAATGTCCTTAATGTATATTATTTATAAAAGCCTATCTACAAATTATCGATGGAGTTGTGAAAATAACAAGACTCCGAGGTCAAGTAATGTTTGTCTAGAAAATTTTATGCTATAAGTAAGTGATTTTTGTTTCAGAACAGATTAATTTAACTTTAAATTTGTTAATTTTACGAAAGTAACGTTTCAGAAATGTATATCTTATTTTAACGGGATTTTCAAAACTGAAAAATAAGTTTGTTTACATTTTTCTAAAAAAAGTTAAAAATGGCCGTTTCGATTGGATTTTCGGAAGCATCGACTAAAAATCATTCAAATTTCTATTTGAAATTCTCCACAGTATTTTTTTTTTCTGGAATTAGAAAATTTAATCCTTTAGCTTTCAATTGAAGCGGTTGGAAAGCTTCGAAAAGGATTTTTTCTTTATGAAAAATACATTTAAACCTTAGGTATACGAATTTTTGCAGGTACCTAATACCTAGACTGACAGTGTTGCTACGGACAGCCTTTTATTTTCACCTTTATATGGCTAATTTAGAAAAACCGACTTCGAAGCAAAACTCATCCAACGAAAGCAACCATCAATAGATAAAAACAATTATAACTTAAGCGCTTGCATCCCTAAATGTATAAACACACAAATATGTCACACCTCGCTTAAGTCACAGCACTCTTTGCTTACGTCACAACACTACTAA